ATTCACTTGCCTAAATCATAATGACAACGACTAAATTTTAGAAATTTTCAGAAACTCTCGTGAACTAACCTTGGTCTCCCCTAATATAATTGATTCTTCAAAAATTATTTTTTTATCTGACTCGGAGCTAGATCTACAGTATTATATTTATATCAGAATAAAATCCATTAACATGAAATAAAATTGAAACACCCAGAAGAAAGATGTTGATGTTAACTTGGATAACGTATATGAAGACGAGGTTAGTCTCCGGCCACCTTATGACGTCATGATCCTCACAACAGTGCATCGTCAGTGTCTGGGCTTCAGACGCTGATGAATGCTGTTATAAGGTTCAGTGAGTGCAAGCAGGTGTTATACCGCAGAGATAAACACACCGTCCTTTTGTTCAATTAGAGCTATTCGAGATGGTTCAGTTTAAAAAAAAAACAAAAAAAAAAAACAGCCATTTTACTCTAAGCAAGACAATAAAGCCACTTACTGAGTGTGAAAGAATGTGAGAAAAAAAAGACATTATTAAGGAGAGAGAACAATAAAAGAACACGAATTAAGAAGACAGAAGATAACGATTGATATTGTATTTAAATTTTTGAAGAACAATGTTGACTGGGAAGCAAGAAGCCGGTAAAGAGTTCCACAAGCGTGAAGTGTAAGAAAAGCATAGAACTTACGGTTACATCTTACCATTTCAACTGTGAAATGATGAGACCTAACTGCCAATCTAGCACTGCGCTTAAATTCGTAAAGTTGAGATACCAAAAAGAACAATTACCATGGAAATATTAATAGAAAAAGCATAGAGAAACTACATTACTCTAGTGGGAAAATAACTGAAGCCGAGATGTCATGTTATGACGGGTAACATTGCACATTCTTCTTTAGATTTTGTAAAGAATCTCTTAAATACATATTGGAAGCAGCAAGCAAGCTGTGACGACATTATTTAATGCAGGAGGGAATGGTCGACTCATAAAATGTGTAATGATTACAAACCATCAAGAGGCTGAATGGTTAATTTCCAAAAATTGTTACACATATTGGATCACATACTGGATGGGAAACAATAGCAATGCTTTGATAGTGATAATCATGATTAAATTAATCTTTCTACAGGCGCAGGCCACTTTTTGAACGGGCACACAGTACAGATGTTCTGTTTGAGCTTCTGGGTCGAAGAGTTATCATAATTTACATTCGGGCTATTTTCCTCATTTTTATTTAATCTACGAAGGCAGGATAAATAAAGGGAGCCGTTTAAACAAGGCACCTGATGAAGGCTGGAGAGTACAACGGACGAAATGTTGTGATAATAACAACAAAGATGAGGAAAATAGCCCTAGTGTCAATTGAATAGCAGAAATGGATTGGGAATCATAGTAGGAGGACATGATTAAGGACTGCGTATACGCCATCCTATGCAGTTGCGGCAAGAAATATAAAGGAGGATCAGACAGCCTGCTTAAAATCAGACTGTGTGAACACCGTAAGGCCGTAACACCAGGGGAAATAGAAAAATCATGCATGTCTGATTATATATGGGGCGAAAAGGGGGATCACCTTCACCAGGAAATTACAAAAACTTAAGGAATCAGCGCATATACTAGGCTGTAAAAATCTCCTAAGCCGGCCAAGCATAGAAATGAAACCTAAATTTTACTATAGAAAATAGACTTCATTGGATGTATCGTTAACATCGTTAAAGAACTTGTCAGTTGAACATACGTAAAAGTGTACCATTGTACAATCTGATATAGTAAGTTGTTACTCTTTCTCGTAGGTAAAAGATCGCGTAAATATATTGTTAGAATTGATAAATATAATCCGTTAAGGCAGACAGAAATATTAACAGTCATAGAAAAAAGTATTTGAGTAAAATTTAAAATTTTAAAAATATAGGGTGTGGTAGAAATACCTCCCAGGAATACCTCCTACATAATGGTAAGACATTATCTTTTTTTATCCATGGACCACTTTTAATCTATATTTTTTGTGCACCTACTTACCATTCGATAAAAAAAGTTTATTTTTTTAATTTTATTTTTTACTAATGGATAAGTTTGGGAACTGTATTATAGTAATAGTAAATCTATATGTTTTATTTTGAAGTATAAATGAATAAAATAAAATCGTACACTATTTACATTATTCGGACTATTGTCCTCATCTTTGCTGCCATATTTATTACAAAGTTTCGACCGTTGTACACTCCGGCCTGCTTCAGGTGGTTCGAATGTCGAACTGAACCCTTGATTTCGTTCACTGGGGTAGGCTGTTCTAGTTCCACGTGCCATGTCTAATGGATGTCAGTTATCAGTTATCTCCTGTTAATTCCCCTCTCCAAGTTCTCCACCGCCTTAACCAGGTATTGAACTCACACTCTTTGGGTCCTGTCACTGGATCTAAGTAACATTTATCCACTGTGCCATGTGTCCTTGAGGACGTAATAAATATGGCGACAAAGATGAGGACACTAGCCCGAATAATGTAAATAGTGTACAATTTTATCCTATTAAATTATACTTCAAAATAAAACATATACATTTACTATCATTACAGTCATGTTGAGTCCATGTTCAATGAGATCCCTTTGGTTGATGTTGCTCTGCGATTTTTTTTAATATTCGGCTCCATCGATGTCAACGATAGCCGAAGATCACCACTTTTCACATTCTCGAGTATATATATATATATATATATATATATATATATATATATATATATATATATATATATATATTTATTTGTGTATTTAGGTAGCAATCCTTCTTTCATGCACATTTCACTGAATACGACAGACAAGATGCTTTTATTTATTTTTTTTTATACATTTTCTCATGCGATTTAATAATTCTTTTTCGGACGATAAATTATATAAAAACTGTCCGAATGTTCTTTTTATTCCGAGCGCTTTCGGCTATACATTTAGCCATTTTCAAGGATTGAATATTTTAACTGTTAAATAAGAAATAGTTTGTTGTATGTATGTATTTATAGAATGTTTTCATTTTTCAAAACACAGTCAAGATGTTGTGTCCATGTTCAAAGTTAATATTATTAAGTGTTGTTTTTTTTGTTTTTATTAATAAGGCTTCCATTATTTTTAGCCTTTTTTTGCATGTAGACAACTCTAATATAATAGCATCATCAAAGGTAAGGGCGCCATCATGGCGCCATTTCATGTATTCGATCTTACAGGATATCATACCAAATCTGTGGTTTGCATTGAGAATAATGCTTACTATACTCATTACTGTGGCCATCGGAGAGAGAATGTTTAATAAAGTAAAGCTTATAAAAACATACTTGCGGTCGTCCATGAATCATGAGAAATGAAATTCTTTGTCTACTTTGTCAATAGAAAATGATCTTGTAAAGAAAGGTGTAGAAAGTGCCATGAAAAGATTTGCAGATCTAAAAGCTAAAAAAATGTTGTAGGTGTGATAATGAAGGTTTTCTTTAGTTTGTATTAAGTTGGATATTGTAATAAACTCATTATTCTACATTTTCAGTTTTTCTCCTTTGAAAATTTAAAAAAGAAATACTCGTAAGGTCGCCGATGTTCATCTTGCTCGGTGTGCCAGCAACCCTAGGACCATCACGAGCCAAGAGTAATGAGTAAGCCAGTGAGGATTAATGTAATACTTATCCAGTTTTACAAGGATAAAGGTTTTATATCGGAAAATTATTTTCTTGAACAGTAAAGGCGATGTAACAAAGCAGTGTTGATCTTGTGGAAATAGAACAATCTGAAACATGTAATTGTTAGTGTCCGTCACACACGGTCACCATGTTACTTTGCATGTGCTGTTATGTAATGTACGTGTTGCGTGTGATTGGCGCATTGCGTGTGATTAACAATATAATATTGTCAGCCGTAATCCCTATCTTCAAATTTCGTATAATCTTGCCATGATTTTTCCATCTTGCATATTTTAAAATATATCTGGCTATCTCCGTCGTGTTACTGGAGAGATATTTGGCATGGGCATAATTTTCAACTTTAATTTTTTTTTTAATGAACTAATTTTTTAGTCATGCAATGTTAGAAAATTTTTTATGCAAAATTAAAAAAAAAAGGTTTAATTTCATGTTTTTGCATTCGCTATTTACTAAGCACAAAGTTTTAGTTTTGGCACAAAGCCACGATCAGGGCCGACTAATTACTGACAACTCTGGCAGTCGCCCGGTGCACCATCATGCTACCGTGTTTGTGATCTTCCAGAACTAAAGCTTATAAAAACTTAATTGCAGTGGTCCATGGTTCAAGACAAAATATCCAAAGAATTTAATCTGTCAATAGAAAATGATCTTGTAAAGAAGATAGGTGTAGACAGTACCATTAAAAGACTTGCAGATCTAAAAGCTAGAAAAATGTTTTAGATAGGATAATGAAGGTTTTCTTTAGTTTGTATTAAGTTTGATATAAATTCATTATTCTACATTTTCAGTTTTTGTAAAGACTCCAAAGTTCATATTATCCGGAGTGCCAGCAATCTTGGCAATCTGATGATACTAAACAGAATTTTATCAAAACAATACCAATAGTAAATCTTAACCACCAAAGAGATGATTATTAATTTGATTTCTTATGTTAGATAATGCAGTCAAATTCAGAATCATCAGATGTACAATGTTGTGAAAGAAATCTCTGTTGTTTCTTAAAACGACCTCAACACGTGTCCACATTTGGCAATGTGTAAACCATTATACAATTCTCACTGGGCCTTCTATTCGGATAAGGTCTTTCGTCCACCAAACAAAAGTGGTCATGATTTGTCAGAGCATCACTGTTATTCGTTCTTTTTCTTTTGTTTATGACTTCTTTTCTCATTTTATTCTTTTTGACTTAATCAAATTCTTCTGATAGGTGTTGGTGAGAACAGCTGAGATCTTTGCTTCTTTGTGTTCTATTCTTCATGAGCATTTTCTAAAAGGTAAACATTTTCAGGAGAAAATTCTTCAGTATATATGACTTACAGCAATATAACGTTGAAGTACAGTACGATCACCAAAGTTAAGCAACGTCGAGCCTGGTTAGTACTTAGATGAGTGACCGCTTGGGAATATCAGGTGCTGTAAACTTGGATGTGCGGGTGGTGTAATGAATAATGGTTCGGAATTGTTAATCAGAGAACAATTAATTATACAATTTTCAAAGCGCTAGACAATGACAATCTCACACGGACATTTTGAAAGGTTGATGTTGCTTTTAACTAATGTTAAAATATTTTTAAAAATTCAATTTAAACATTTTTTAAAAATCTTTTTAAAATTAAAGAAATAAGAAATAATTGTATTAAAAATTCAATTTTCATTGAAAAAAATTTTTGCTTTCAGAAAATATTGTCCATATTCATAAAAACAATTTAAAACAAATAAAAGCATTTGAAACTAAATAATATATTTGTTTTATTGAGTTTTGTATATTACAATTCACAGCTGATTTTCAGGTACGTTGGCCAAAAAACAAAAAACAAAAAAAAAACATGATTTGCATTCTTCAAAGCCTTGTGCTTTTAACTATTGTAATCACTAAAACCGATGGTCTCGAATTTCTAGTGTTTTTCATAAAATTAGTTATGGGTGTGTTAATAAATATAAAAAAATATTTCTGCCATGACTTTAATAAAAAAAAACAACATATTTATAATAATTTCGATCATCTGTGAATAGTTTCTGAAAGTTTTATTAATATTTGACAATTATTTTTATTTTTGCAAGATTTTCCAAATTAATGTGTATAAATACAAAAAAATGCGCTAAAAATTATCTATGTTATTTACTACCCCTTGTTGCGACAAAGAGAAACAAGGTTTGTTAAATCAAAATTTAGAATATTCTAAAAAGCTGGAAAATTTTTTTAAAAATAATTAAAAAAATTTAGTCTATCTTCTTCATAAAAAATAAGCATTTTGACGATAAAATTTTGTTTTCATAAACTTAGGCGTCTTTTTCATCAGACTATGCTCTATGTTTTAGCGATTCCGGGGAATGACTTAGGTTAAAAAACCCAGGTTGTTTATGTCTGTGTGTGTGTGTGTGTGTGTGTTCCTTTATATATGGGATCGGATTTCTTACATTCTTCAGCCGATAAAACAAACATCCACTTTTTTTTTCGGCAGGTAGTATATCTTATTGTCTTGCACACTTTTTTCTTTATTTACATTCAGAATGCTTTAAAAATTCCATTTACAAGACAATTGTTTATAATAAAATTCTATTCACCAATCGACAGACTCATAACGATTGTAAACAATGTTTTTGTTTGAATTTGGGTTTGACCAATTCGTAAAAAAAAAAAAAAAAAAAAAACTAATTAAGACATGCGTGTCCGTCAACCTTAAACAATAATCTTTGTCAATTTTATTTTTCAGTCTTTATGATGGTCGATACTTGATCTATCTCTTACTGTTACATCCCCGGGCAACGCCGGGCCCTACTGCTAGTAGTGTATATAATACCTCATCTCAGACATATACTGAAAGGCTGAAACGTTGTTATAAATATGTCGACAAAGATGAGGACAATAGTCCGAATAATGTAAATAGTGTATATAATACCTCATCTCAGAAATATAGACAGATATTGAAGGGCCGAAACGTCGTAATAAATATGTCGACAAAGATGAGGACAATAGTCCGAATAATGTAAATAGTGTACATAATACCTCATCTTAGAAATATAGACAGATTATTGGTTTATTGCTTATGAGAAAGGCCGGCAACATGCGGCAATAATGACATCCTGAAGGCATGATGGGAAGAGTGACCATTTCCAGGATTATCTTGGCGCTTGTATATTATACTTTATTTTTATACTTCAACTATTCATGATATTACTGCTTGACATGAAGTGAAACATCTGCACATCTGCCATTGCTTCTGTTCTGCAGTGTCAAAACTGTTATTGAGCAAGGATCATCAGGATGACCACGATGATTTTCAGGTAGGCGAGCTTTGCCCATTACTTTCTGTTCTCCTTTATTTCTCCGTGTTACTGATTCTGCCTGATTGAGATTTTACTTTGTTTGTCACAGAGGATGAGGCAAAATCAGAACTAGGAAAAAATCTTTGTTGTAAGGAACAATTCCTAAAACGTTAAAAGTAAAACACGTCACAATATTTACAGGAACAGTATTTTGGAGCAAATAATCCTTCCCTGTCGCTCATGGATTTTCAATGACTTACCACAATACATAATGAGGAAAGAAGATTGGAAAATTTGATGCTCACAGGACACATCGAAGATAAAAGAGACAAATGGAACCATTCCTGACAAACTAAATATGGACGCCGACACACTATGTAATTTTAGACCGCAAATTCGAAAGGAAAATTTTCGGGGTTTTAAGTTTTTAACAACTTTTTTTCCCTAATTTCATATTGTAAAAAATATCACAGAACTTGATTACTGCATATACTCGCGTATCATGCGACTTTTGAAGACTTAATTTTGGAGTTAATTTTAAGGGGGTCGCATCATACACGAGATATAAAATTAGAGTATTGGGTACGCCGCTGACCAATCTATATATTCATTTATTTTAGTAAAAAAATACAGTTGTATTTAAAATAAACATGATTTTGATAAAACTGATGGTTTACTTAACTGTATTCAATAATAATGCGTATAATATTTACATATTAGTATCGTATTAGAAAATACAAACATAGCGAATATGCATCTTTTCTATTGTTTACGTTTATAGTGATTTTCCAAGCGTAGCTTGTATGTGGCACAAGGCCGAAAGTAAGAGGCACCCAGTGAGGCTCGAACTCACAAATCAGTCGTAATTGTTCTAGCGAGACAAGCTTGCTAACCATTACACCACCTCGAGGTGCACAAAAGATTTTCTAAGCGTAGCTTAGATGTGGCACCAGCCCGAAAGTATGAGACACTCAGTGAGAATCGAACTCACTACAAAGTCGTAACTGTTTTAACGAGACAAGCTTGCTAACCATTACACCACGACGAGGTGTCTAACGGTTTACGTTTATAAGATGTGTAGCTGTTTCTCGTACGGTTGTTTATGGCTGTACGCGTTTACGCAACGAGTCTAGCGTTACTAACGATACGTTTATCCTTCTCTCTTACTTTTTTAACTTATTTAACTAGAAGATGGTGTAGCAAAATCAGAACCAGTGAATAAACTTATACCAAAGATTTATTGCACTTTACTCTGGCTACTCGTCTACTGACGGATATTACAGGGTGCTTTTTATACCGCCTCGGTCTTAAGGGGAGGTAACTGATGATTTATCAGTACATTCTCCCCTACGTATTTTATTCATAAGGGAGAAAATCTCTTAGGCGGCCAGGCTCTTTACAGATTCTCTGTGAACGCCTGGGTAGTTCTTGTATTGGTCTATTCGGGCTGGAAGATCTCTCATTTTGAGCTCACCCGTTAGTCCCGGAGTGGAAGCATATCGTCCTTCTTGATGGACGAGGCCGCTCTGAGTCTGAATGTGGATCTTTCAAGTCTGGCTTCCCGCTTCTGGGGCATGGATCGTTCATTAGGATCGTTTGGAGTTGTCAGGGTCTCAGATGTTAATCCCTCTGAAATGTCTGATGGAGGCGCAACGGAAGCTGTGTCATCATCCTGGGGTAATATGTCGGGAGTGATTCCGGCACGTTGATCTCCCGATTGGTTTTCAGTGTCGAAGAGATCAGATCTTCTTACTAGGGTGGTTTTAGGATCTGGTACATCTCCAGCAGGAACCAGATCTCTAAGAGAGACGGTGGTTTTCCTTCTATCCATGTGTCGCATGAGTGCATATTGTAGGTTTCCTTCTATTAGTTCCATCTCGTCTACCAGGGGGGAGGTCATGTTTGGTATAGCGAATGTGGGATGTCTCAGTAGAATCGTACCTGGTTGAGAGAGAGTCAAGTGGGAATCGAAGTCCCAGTCGAACTCCGTCGTTGGAATGGTAGAAATCTTTCGTGTTGGGTGGCATTGGTGGTCGTACATTATAGCGATCTGATGGCATAAAGGGCTACTGGAAAGAGATTTTCCCAATTATTTACTGAGCATATGTGTGTTGAAGCAGCCAATTGAATTGTTTTCCAAATAAAGCCGTTATATCTTTCGCATTGACCGTTACCCTGGGGGTTGTACGGGGTTGTCCGACTTACCGCCATCCTGCGTTCTTGTAAGAATTGCTGAAGCTGCTCGGACATGAAGGAAGCTCCTCGGTCTGAATATATGTATGTCGGTACTCCAAAGACGGCAAATAGGGAACAAAGGCATTGTATAGTTGTTGTTGCAGTCATATCTGGACAGAAAAAAGCAAAAGAAAACCGTGAATATTCATCTACAATAGTTAGCATGTATCGGTTTCGTGTTTTGGATGGTAACAGACGTTTAAAGTCCAGATTGAGTCTTTTAAATGGCTACCTTGTTTTTATTAGGACCTCAGGCGTAGGTCTGTAAAATTTAGGTTTTATCTCAGCACACGTTCAGTAGGAATTTGTAACTTTCCTAACATCCTCCACTGAATAAGGTAAATTCCTACTCCTTACCATGTGAACCATCCGTATTATGCCCAGGTGGCACAGTTCCTCGTGTAGTGTCTGGAGTTCTTTTGCACTTGGAGTTATACTGCATATTCTTGACAGGGCGTCTGCTGCCAGATTCTCCTTGCCGGGCTGGAAATAATATCGAACGAGAACCAAGACAGTTCAATTCTCCACTTTGCTACTTTTTCATTTTTTATTTTACTGGTAGCCTTTGAGTTGAACATGAACGAAACAGATTTTTGATCAGTAACTAATCTGAAGTGACGTCCGATTAAATATTGTCTCCACTTTCTTGTCTCTTATGGCGTAGGCTTCTTTTTCAATCGCCGTATACCATCGTTCAGATTGAGAGAGAGAGAGAGAGAGAGAGAGAGAGAGAGAGAGAGAGAGAGAGAGAGAGAGAGAGTTCTTGAAACGAAGGCTACAGGGCGGTCATCTTGACTTAATGAAGCGGCAATTTCACAGTCTGATGCATCAGTTTCAACTATCAGTGGAACTGAAGGATCTATAGTTGTGATTACAGATTTTGCAATGTCTTGCTTGAGTTTTTCAAATGCTTCAAT